ATTAAGCCATAGATAGCTGAGTTATATTGATTGTCATAGTTCCAGCTTTATGTTCCTATCATGTAAATTCTTTTCTGACATATTGATACATTATGTGCTCTTTGTTCTAACCTTTTGTTCAATTGACTGTTCTATCATAGATTATTACAGTGTGAACCAAAATTCATCAGGCATCACTTCAAATTGCAAAGTTTATCTGGGATATTTAAAAAATCACACCAATAAAAGGCTTTGGATTTCAAAGGGATTTTTTAATAATTCTTTCTCAGAGTGGATTTATACTATTTGTAAGGGATTAGAGACATTTATTGTGTCTTTATTGAAAAACCCAACTTCTCAATTGGTTATCCTGTCACACTCGCTAGGCTAGTTAAAGACTGTAGATTTTTGGGGCTGAATGTTCATGAAGGGCTATCAAATACTCCTGCAGCAGTTTGAATAAACTGTAATGCATCTGGTCAGGTGAGGATGATTTTGACTGCTCATTGCTGGCCTCCTAGCTCTGAGTCACCTCCAACGTTATAGCGATGTAGTTCCATTAAAGTTATTAAATTTACAGAGGCATAGTAATACAGTGGTTATCAGCTCTCAAGGATTAAACACCTCCAGCCACTAGTTACTATAACACTAAATATCTTTACATTAGTCATTGTATTTTTTTTATTGCATACTCTTTCTATAGAAATGAACTTTGAAGTCAAGGTTCTTCTGATGCATTGGAACTCAGTTATTTTAGTTGGTATGTTAGGTATCTTCCTTATAATCAGAAATCAGTGCATAGGGGAAGAGACTCAATTGTGGAAGGATCGCTGGTGGCACACTGCTGTTGTTCTTGAACCACTAGAAGACCTTCCAGGATTCCTTCAATGCCCATGGGGAAAGAGGATGTATTCTGCTAGATCAGTAGTACCCAATCTTTTGGCCCCATGGGCCGGATGAGTAGTGTGGGTTCAGGCTGTGGGCTGGATCCAGTCAATGGGACTGATCTGTCATGCATGGCCTGATTGAGCATGTGAGTACAGCCCAGCTGGGGCCTGATCTGGCTAGGGCCTGATCCAGCACGTGTGGCCCCAGCCCCGTGTACTGGATTGGGCCTTATGCAAGATCTTACCCATGGCTCTAGCCCGGGCACAGGGCCATGTCATCCAGCCTACAGGGCATGGAAATATGACAGGGGAAGCAGTGGCATTATTAATTCCCCAACTTCCCCACCAGCCAATTTCCAGACCCAGAGGGAGCTCCACTGGCCATAAGTTACACACCATGGCATTAGATAGCATCCTTCCAGCACTGCTTTGTGGCTGAGGGCGAGTAGGAGATGAGTATGCCACAACTCATGATATCTAGATCCAGCTGACCCCTGAGATTTCTCTGTAGATAGGGTTACATCATTTTGCAGTGTTAAAATAATCAGAATTGGACACCTTGTTTTATTGGGTTAGCACTTACTTTAAAAAGCAGAATGAAATATACTCTCTTGTACAACTTGGACTGTATTTTGAAAATACAGGACCACTTTCAATCATTAATAAGTAAATCCCAAAACTGTATGTCTGGAAAAAAAAGAAATAGTTTAAAATTGAGGCTTTTTCTTAAAGGGCAGGTTTCTTTGTTGCGTATCTGCTTGTTTATACTGTGAATTAAGACAATTGGAAAGGGAAGTAGTGCCTGGCAGATGGATACACAAGTTGATTTGTTCAGAGGTTGCAGGTTGGTGGAGGAGCTGAAAAGTATTTTGCCTTTATGCAAAACAAAGAAACCAAAAAAAACCCCAAAACAAAATCCAAAAAACCCCAGAAAACAAACCATCCTCCCAAGATCCAACATTAGTAGACCTATAACATAAAAAGCATATTCTGTGTTAAAAAGGTTTAAAAATTATTTTCCACTATACATCATAAGATAAACCTTATGGGCCTCTCAGACACCTACTAACAAATTATTTTAAAAAAATGTCTGCCTCTTTCCATTTTCAATAGGACTGAAGCCACAGGCTTCCTTTGGTCAATATAGGGACCAATTTTGCCACAGCTCTTGTAGTTGTATATTTAACCTGTTTTTTGCACTGCTTCCCTTTAGTCCCATATGAAACAATGCAAGATGGCATCCCAAAAGGATTACAGTTAAATGTGTTGTGTAGCATTTGTATAAGGGTGAGATGTGACAATGGGGGGAGGATCATGAGAATAGTAGAGGGCTAACATGTCATTTCCTAACTTTTCTGGTTTTACAACAAGGTATTACATGTGACACCCTTAATTGTTGCACAGTTTTTTTTCTCTCTGAATTACTGTTGAGAGACTGACCTAGTATGGGAGAAACTTTGTGCTTTAGACCTGTTTCAAGAAATAATGGAGAAGGCTCATTGGAGAAGGATGGATGATGCAAGCTATTGTAGAATGGGAGAAGGGAGCCAGGGAGAAAATTGATTAAGGAGAGCAACAAAGATGGTACTTAATCATAAAGCATGGCAGTATTATGATATTTAGAAATAAAATGTACCACAGGCACATACTAGCTGGAGTGTTTAGTGGAAGTGCCAATATTTCATGTCTAATAATATTTTTACTGAAAATTGATCAGGCATTTTCCATACTAGTCTTCAAGGGTATCTTAAAAAATGTACAGCATTTGATTTCAGTAGCACACATTCTTAGTTCCTGCTTAAACACTGTTCTTAAAGAAATAATTTATTTATAAAACTCTATAAAACTCCCCTTGGTTGAATTTTCAAATTGAACTTGTGACTTTCAAGAAGGCTTTTGCTTCTTAACTACATTATGAAAATCTCTAGAAATTCATGATGGAGTTGTCCTCCAACATCTGAGCAGCTGGGAGCCGAATGAATGCTCTACTGTCTCCTGCAGCCTCCCTTCCCATTGGGCAGGTAGCATGCAGATTCCCCCAGTCCATCTATGATGCCCCCAAGAGTGGAGGCAGGAGGTGGAAACTAGTGGAGGCAGGGAGAGGCTGGGAACCCTGGCAGCAACAGGAACAGTGGGCAACCACTGGGAGTCAACGCCTCACAGGCTACCTGTAGCCCATGGGCTGCTACTTGGATAGCTCTGATAACACAGTACTTTAGGGCTGAGAAACATGCTCTTCTGGAAATGAGTATCTTTATAAAATGACATTTGCAATTAGCATATTTTATATGCATCTACCATGGTACCAGGTTGGTTATGCAGAATTTTCAAAGCTGCTTTGGACTTCTAGTAGTCTCTTTTTTAGGGTGCTTGTCCAAAACTTTATTTAATGAATTGGCAGCAAAGTCCATTGTCTATTTTGTGCATTTACTTGGAAAATGTCATGTTAAATAATAATATTAAATGCTACCTAGCTTCACTGATTATTCACCCTTTAAAATAGGAAGTAGCACTCTAGAGCAGGGGCAGGCAATTATTTCAGGCGGAGGGCCACTTACCCAGTTTTGGCAGGCTGTCGAGGGCCGCATGGGGTGCCCCACCCCTTGACAGGTGCCCCACCCCTGGTCACTATCTTGGAACCAATGTCCCAGGGCCAGCACTGGTGGGGCACAAAGCAGGACACAGGCTGGCAGGGGTCTGTGGAGCCGGGCTGGGCTGCACCAGCAGGGAGAGCGGGGAGCTGCACCAGCTCCGTAGAGCCCCTGCCAGCTGGGACCCCGCGCTCCTGCTGCCCTGTTCTGGGCCCTGCTGGCACTGGCCCCGGGACATCCACTCCCAGTGTCCCCCAGCCCCACAGTACAGGCAGGGGGGCAGCGCACAGCCCCAACCCCCTGCTCACTGGCAGGGAAGAAGCTGGTGCTGAGCGTGGGGAAAAGCAGCCCCTTGCCTGCCCCATGGCTGGCGCTCCCTGCTGCAGGTGCTTGCAGCCCACGCAGGGCTTCCTGGAGCAGGCACAGGCAGCTGCAGCCCCCCGATTGCCACACCAGGCAGTGTTTGCTGCTGCTGCCCACCCAGAGCTCGTGTGCTGGGCAGCCCACAGGCGATAGTGGCAAACACTGCCTGGCGTGGCAAGCAGGGGGGCCGCAGCTGCTGTTGCTGCATGCAGCCCTGACTGGCGAGCCCGGAGGCGGCGCGGGGCCCAGGCTGGCAGTGGGGTGCTGAACGCGGGTGCTGAGTGCAGGCGGGGGGGTGGAAAGTGGCCCCTCGCTCGCCCCGTGCCTAGCGCCCCATACTGCAGCCACTCGCAGCCTGCTGGGGGCTGCCTCTGCCTGTTCTGGACAGCCCCGCATGAGCTGCGAGCAGCTGCAGCGGTTCCAACGTGGGGCAGCTGCATGGTCCCAGGCCAGAAGCCCCTGGTGGGGCTTCTGGCTGTGGGGGCAGGGCTGGGTGGGCCCTGCTGTTGAGCCCGCCGGACTTCCCCTGGGTCCTACTGGGGAAATGACAGGAACCAAGGGCAGATGAATATTAGTTTTCTAAATTTTTTAGGGGCCCCGTGGGCTGGATAGAATGGTCTCACGGGCTGGATCCGGCCTGCAGGCCATATTTTGCCCACCCCTGCTCTAGAGAGATTCCAGCTGCATTGGGCTTTACCTTATCTTCTAAAATAATGGCTGTTAAGAACATTTCATATTTTGGCAAGCACAGATGTGGTTAGAATAATATCATGTGCTACAGCTGCTTTTCAAAACCAAATATAGTGCAGGAATTTCATTCTGCATGGTTTTCTTTTCTTTTCTTGGTTTTTTTTTTGTTTTTGTACCATATGTTAAATGATTACTTAACCAAGAAAACTGACCAAAAGTTATACAAGGAGTTTTGAGAATTTAGTTAACTGTTGGATAAGAGAAAACAGGTTTTTAAGATCACTAGTTACAGATAAACAAATACATTTGTATCATTTCTGTTTCCTGGACTGGTGTGAGTTCTACTGAAATACATATGTAGCACTCAGACTATCAATGAATGATTTTAAACCAATTTTGAGTAATCATGTTTGTTGTTTAGTAAGTTCTTTACAGAGCATAAAGATGTGATCAATGACTGTGTGGTTGTTTTTCATTTTCCCTTTCTCAGTTTGAACAAGAAAACCAGCGACTTGTTGGTGAGATGAATAGCCTGTTTGATGAAGTGAGGTACAACTCTCTCTTATTTCCTTGCTGTCGCATTGTACAACCAGGAAATGTGCTCACTGGCTACAAAATTTGCTGAACAATAGCTTGCTACAGAAAAACACTCCTGAATATAGACATTCGTATGTGGAAAAAAATCCAGCAGCCCTATGCTTGTAAATAAACCTTTAAAATGGGAGGTACGTGAGAGCTCATGCCTTATGGTGTTTCTGAACCTACAAGAAACCTGGTAATACTCTTTGTAAGCTAGGAACTGTTCTATTTGATGGGTTAAGTCTGAAACTCAAAAAATAACTATGCTAATTTTCACCATTAGTCATTTTAACAGACTCATCCATTCAGGATTTTATAGTCCACACAATCGAAAATAACTCCTTGGACTCCAGTTGTGCAAAAACCCAAATGCCAGCCTAATACAAGTCGTATATTTCCTATAATAACGTCTACTATATGTGTATTGTTTATATAAGTCTTCAAAATATCATGAAGTATACCTCTAACATCCAGTTGTCAAAGTAGTTATCACACATCATGGCTAAAATAATAGTTAACAAAATAACCAAATTGTCTGATTTTTCTGGGTTTAACAGTGTGAATCTACAGTAAAAAATGTTTGCACTAGTACATGGTGGAATATTTTCTTTTCTTTCTCAAGACAAATTGAAGGGAAAGTGGTTGAGATCTCCAGGCTTCAAGAGATATTCACAGAAAAAGTCCTGCAACAGGTAAAATGTTTGCTGTTGTAGCATCAAAGCACTCAAGGAAAAGAACTGAACTGTGTTTAAGTGAAATGTGCTTTTCTTACAGACTTTTTTCAGTTGTGATCTGTGTCTTGTTAAATGTACAAGTGATAAGAACAAAACAAAACACAGACATTAAGGAAAAACAGAGCTGAAAAGCCAAATTTCACAGCAGATTGCAAGGTAGATTTCCTTGCATCATATTCTTATTAGGCTTGTGTTCCTAGCAGTACTGAAAAAACACAACACTCATGAATTAACTATTATAATCCTTTGCCCCAAATCAGTATGATGGTGTGTTAAGTTCAGTTAATGGTATTTGGTAAACTAGTATCTTTCAGGCAACTGACAAAAATTAATAGACTACATTCAGGTCTAATCCAAGACCACTGAAGTCAATAATGGGAATGTTTTCAATGACTTAAGGGACCTTGAGTCACGCTCCTAGTAATGTAGGCATAGAGAGTAAGGTTTAATGAATCCTATAGCCCTCTGTCAATCAAGACTGGTACCAAATGAAAATAAGATGTTAATACACCTGCTACTTTATTTCACATTTGTCATCTATTACAACCTCAAAATCTCTGAGTTAACATTTTTTTTCCTGTAGAGTTTTTCATCGTTTTTATTAACTCTCTTCATCAACAGGAAACTGAAATTGACAGTATTCATCAGTTAGTTGTGGGTGCAACAGAAAATATTAAGGAAGGCAATGAAGATATAAGAGAGGTAATGTTTTTAACTAGTGTTTCAATGCATTTCTTGCTCCTCACTAGCAAACATGTCAAAGCACTTTACTGAAAACATGCACTGTGGTCACATTTGCAGCAAGGGTCACATTTGCAATCTGTAGACTTCATTAGGGGCATTACCTCGTTTTCAGTAATTGTGCAGGCTGCAGTTACCTTATTTAAAATATGGAACTATTTGTCTTGGTCATTTTGATCTGAACAGCTGTTTGGATATGTAGACTCTGCTGGCCTTCAGCTCCTTTTTAAAGAGGGTAGTGACCATGAGCTAAGTATCACTGCCTAAAAAAATAAGGCAACGGGGTGGTGGTGGGCAAAAACACTGAAGTGAATGGGAATGGAATCTTGAAGCATTACTTGATCAAAATAAATCCTTCCTTATAAAGCATAAAAGCAGTCTTGAATATCATCTTATTAGACCCAGATATTATTTTGAGCTGTTTTCAGGAGGTGAGCCTTAAAAAAATGATGCTTTAAGCCCCCTGCATATCAGTGCCTGGGACTGATGCCCCACTTGCCCACCCTTAGTTTTGCTACCGACATTCAGATAAAATGCTTTGCATTCATGGTTCTCAAATTGCCTAACAAACATGGGCACTGCCACCTTTGCAGTAGAATTGAGACACGCTGATGTTAATTGACTTCCATGAGGTCACATATTGAGTCAGTGGCAGATCTGGGAACAGAATGCAGATCTCTGACTTAGGCAAGTGAGGTAACCTAGGAGGTCTGAGCTGAGGAAAAGGAACGCTGCCCATCTTTTTAAAGTTCTTTTACTTCCGTAAATTAAAGCTGATATATTCAAGATTTGCATGCATAATATTAATGCTAAGTCATTGGCACTGTCTTAAAACCAAAAGAGGAAACTACCTACCCTACCATTTTGTTTCTGACTTAGTATTAGTCTGAAAAAAATATCTGGAACAGATGCTTGCTATTTTGAACTGGGACTGGGTAATTTTTTACATTTAAGTACTTACTAACATTGTTAAATCAATCATTTAGAAGAAGAAATGGCCATTATCGAACTGTTTAATCATAGAGTCTAATAGGACTATTTAGAGAAGTAATTTATTCTTTAAAATATTGATTTTGGCATCTTATTTAACATTTATACCCGATTTTTTCAGTTCTCTCCAAACAGTTGTTTCAGAACTGTCTTATTTTGCATCATGTTTCTCTTCTATCATAAAGTAAATGCTATTGATGAGCTTGGTTTTTACTTGTTTTTTTACAGTCTCTGTTTTCAAGATTTCAAAGTAATTTGAGTCAATGGGGTGAATTTAGGGCTTGATTCTTATTCAACTTAGGTCAATATTGAGTGTTGCCACTGACTCCAGATTGGATTTAATGGAATTGTTGGCAGAGTCATATTATTGAAATTTCATATTTTTATTGGGAATGATAATTGAAATCATATCTTCCAACAGGCAATCAAAAACAATGCTGGATTTCGAGTATGGATCCTTTTCTTCCTTGTGATGTGTTCATTTTCCTTACTTTTTCTGGACTGGTATGACAATTAATTAAAAACAAAACATGGCATATGTGCTTTGCTTTAGACTTGATTTTTTCTCTCAAAGCAAGACATACTGTTTTGTTATGCAGTTTTAGAACTGGTGTGGCTGAAATACCTTTCAGCAAAGAAATAAATGGGGAGTGTGGACAGAAAGTGCATATCCAAGCATATATCCACTTATGCAGAGTGTACCTACATCATTTAAGTTCCTTCAGCAGCTTCACAAAATAAATGTAGTCTTGCAAAGAGAAATCCATTAATCTGCTAGCAAGCGAAAACCAGGCTGTAGCTTTTTAAGTGGCAAGAAATTTTCAGTAAGATGTAAATTATACAGTGTTAAGAAACTGTTGTCTGTGAAACTATTTTCTTTGTGAACTTACCAGCAGTCATCTAATGTGGGCAGGATGCACAACAAAGAAAAGTTCTGCAACAAAGCCTTACGCTTTTCCATCATCTCAGGCTTCTGTTTAATTACATCACTTCAGTGTTAAATGTAGTACTGTTCTGTAAGTATGACTACCAGTCCTAATTCTACAGAATTAGTGTGGTCAGATTACTAGTTTTTGTGGATAAAAAAATCAAGTCAGTCAAAATAAAAAAAGATAAAAATAATAAAGCTTTGCTTATAGGTTCCATGAAATTTGGGAAGCATTGCATATAGTATATTTTGTGATGGAGCAGATGTAGTGAGATTGTCAGAGCGCCAAAGAATAGGTCGCATAAAAGCCAAACTTTTCAAAGAAGGAAATTTTGTGAAAAACCTGTTTAAGAACTTCAGAAATAGCGGTAAACAGGAACCTAAACCTCCTTGTTAATGTCAGTGAAAAAACTTCCAACTTCAAGGAAAGCAGAATCAGTCACCAAATAAGCTTGTTTCCAGACACCTCCACAAAATGTGCTTCTTTTCATTTTTTTGGATGCTTGCTTTTACGGTGGAATTATTAAGTCTTGGCTGCACAACAAAGATGTTTTTACTGTTCCAGGGCAGGCGGGGCAGGGAGAATGGACAGGAGAGTGGGCGGGGGGAAATAAGCTTTGTTTCCCATGCTTATTCTTCGTAGAAGTTATCACCTTGTAAAATTGGAATTCACTTCTCTCAGCACTGGTTTTAAAACATTCATTTTGCTGTATCTCTTGTGAAATGCAAGTGTCAACATAATGTACGCAACAAGTGGTATCATCCTTATTCTTTATTTTGCACAGAGTGAAAATGTCAAAAGTTACATGTGGCTTAATTTACATTCAATAAAGTACAGGTCTACTAGAAAATACAAACATGGCATGTCTTAATATGTTCAGATGGGTTTGAACTTTTTCAAATGCAAAGAAAAATTTTGGCACACAATTTATTGCTTTTTATGCATTCCATATAACATGATGAAGTACTAAAAAGCCTTTTACAGTACATAACTGTATAATGCACACTTGTGTTTGTATCAAACCTATAGAATTGAGAGTAATGGTCATTTTGTACTTTATCAGTATGAAAAGTTCATGATACTAAAATGCTAGTAATAAAAGAAAAACTGTAACCCATAAGTGGAGCTGACCATGTTTGTTCTGCTTCAAGCCTAATATTGGTGTTTCTCCCTTCATTTTTATATAGTATCTATAAAAATAATGAAACTTTTGACATGTCCACTAGAAATATCACATTCAAGTAACATGAAAGGAAAAAGTGACTTGCATACCTAAATGCTTAACACATTTATCTTGTCTAACTGGCAAATTAATCATGTTTTTGTAATATATATTTAAGATTTATAATAAAAATGAAAACATGGTTTCATACAACGAATAGTCAAGGATTTTGTAAATACAATGAAATTTGAACGTGCATTCACAATACTATGTTCATCTACATCTTTTTCCTCCCAAGCCATATACATAAACAATTATACTTTTCCACTCAGTTTTGACATGTAGCTTTAAAACAGCAAGTAGTGTTACCTATTATGCTACAATTTCACTTGTGATGCCCTGTGTTTAAAAAGTAGTAAATTACGACTCATTTCGTTAACTCAAAGCTGTTTGTAATGTATAAAAAGGGAAATGTTAATGTCATATAAAATGGAAACAATTTAGACATGTTACTCCCTTCCTCTTTTATATCAGACCAATTAAATTGTGGACTTTATCTACAGTGAAAGGGCTTTCAGCCTTTTAAGTATGATCAAAGGATGTGATTTCTCATTGGAGCAGCCTCTACTTCACAAGTTTATGGGAGTTATTTTAATCACAATCCTGAATATATTTATTACTAAAAACGCCTGTCTCCCATAACATCCATGTAATTTGTGTTTCAGTGCACATCCTTACCAAGATGCTAAAGCCACAGTGGAAATGCAGTGAAGATCTGTTGACAGCAATAATAAAACATTGAGCATGCCTTGTTGCAAAAAACATCATTATCACTTACAAATCAACAACAGTGGAAAAAAATATGAGAAAAATGCTACCTGACCATTTTTCTTTCCTCTCTCCATAACAGTCACTACAACATGCCCTTGATATCATCCTAATCTGAACTGGAAACACATTTTTAAAACAGCTCTTAGCTAAACAAGAGATCACTCTAGTTATGGATATGGTGTTTCAGTTTGCAAAATGGGTGACTGATTAAAAAACATGAAGTATCAGTTCAGACAGTAAAACATACAATTTATCTAGCATCCAAACCCCTGAAAATCCAGTGGAGAATTCTGTCAGCATCCAATAAATTGCAAGAACATATCTAAAGTTGGATTTCTAAACACTGAAAATGGTGTCAAAGCTCTAAAGCGATGCTGATATGCACCTTGTTTTATGCCCATGAATGTTCTGCAGCAAGTTTTTTTTTTATTTTTATTTTTTGCAAAGCAGTATCAGCAAACAGAAGCAATTGCACCATAAACATGAGTAACCTCTAAATTATCCATAATTATATCTAATGAAAAGTTCCTTAAAGTCCCTTAGTTACTTTCAAATGACATGTTATTAGCAGTTTGCTTATCGCACTAAGCTGATTTCTCAGCAGCTTCGGTCTCCTGTTCAGACAGTTTTTCTTCTGATAGTACTGTCATCCATGGAGACACTGAGCGTGTGATGGTTTGTTTGGCCAGATTGTAGTGGTTTATGACCGTGTAAAATTTCCCTCGAGTGCTGGAATCTTGTTCAGAATAGTAGTTCTCCAACCCAGCTGGAATGCACTGATTATTCTGAAAAAAAATCCACTGTTTAGATGACAGATACTGTCCAAAAAAATCACTAAAAATAAGTCAGAAAGATAAAAGTAATTTCTTTAGTCGCCATGATTTACTCATGTGTGAATCTGAAAGCAATACACATTAACTATGGTGGTGTTACAACAATTTAGTAAAGTGCTCTACACCAAGACAACTTCATGAAAAAAGAGTTTGCCTGAGTTCCAGGACAACTATATTCTAGCAGACTTCCATCTAGTACAATTATTATCTAGGACACTAGATAAAAATAGGCAACATCAAGCTGTCCCAATTTTAGTCTTTTTTACCCTGACAAGGTGATTTCTTAAGGATGTTAAATCTCTACCATCAGGATGTTAGTTGCATTTTCAGTGCAACAGGTAGCTACTTCCAGCTGTGCGAAATACAATTACAAATACCTTTTTTCCATAGTTTGATTAACTCTAGGTACATTAACAGACTAGTTTCAGTCTGTGTTGGATAAGAAGTAATATAAATGTTGTGCACAGGTATGGAGACATTTTTATAGTGTAGCAAGCCAAATATCACAATGAAAATACTGTGGAGGTTCATCTTGCACACAAACATCTACTCACAAAATATATCCCAAGATTTTCAGAACTAGGCTTCTAAATCTCGTTTTAGACACATAAATGAGTGGCCTAATTTTACAAAAGCACTAAAAAAATTGATAATTGCTCCATGCTCAGATTTTGAAAACCAAGTCTCTTAGATACCTAAGCAAGCAGCCTGATTTAAGAGCCCTAACTTTCAGTAATCTATTTATGAAAAATCTCAGTGGACATGTGAAAGTGGGGCCTGTCCACGCTCGCGTCACCTCTTGGCCAGCTTTCAGCTCCTTTAAGGAAGCAGTTCAAGGATAAAACAGTGAGTATGTAACTTGTAGCCTAATGTGCTCTAGAACTGAAGAAAAATGGGATTAAGAGACTAAACATTTTTTAAAACTGTTAACTCTTATGGTAGTCAGATCAGTCTGAGGAAAGAATAAGCCTAATTATTTCTATCCTAACTAAAAATGTATTTAAAAGGACCAGTATGCGGGTAGGTCTTCCTTGTCACAGCAGTAGAACAGACATTTTCCTTAAATGCACAGGCATTTTCACAGCACTATTTTTCTCAGAGAACTCCACAAACAGAAATTCAGTTCAATGGCAGAAAGTCCTGAGCACCATAGGAATTTCACTCTTCTGTGACCACATACCACCTTGAGCATGGGTTTCCTCTTGTGCTTGTCCCTTATTTAAATGTCACTGTTTAACAAATAGTCTAACTGTTCAAATAAAACAAAGATCTGTAAGACCCAGAGCATTTAGAATTCAGAACTACTCTGGTGTCCTACAGTGCTGTGGTGGAGAAAGTATCAGACAAACACTCACCTGTTCCATGGCCCTGTCCACAGAAACATATGCCCTTCCCCCCAGATGCACCTAGTCTCTCAAAGGACAGGGTATGGGTTAAGCAACCAAATCGTGAAGTTATAAGCAAAAGGGGCAGACAAAAAGGCAATTTATGGTTGATCTAATGCATGAAAATTCACTGCCACAGTAATTTAAACCAATACCTTTTTGAAACCCCTAATAATTTGAAGAGGACAGTAACTTGCAGATTTTGACCCACCCATCTCTTAATCGGTTTTGACCGAAGCTTGGATTAGTGTTAGAGCTTGAACTGGGGACACTGGCTCACTCACACCAGCAAGGCTTGATCTATTTGTTTCCTATTTGTTATCATCACCAGCCCTGTGGCTGACATCACTGGTGAAATTCTGCTGTATAAAAGTCACCAATTCCAATGCTCCGGGATTGGTGAATGGAGCCTTGTGCCGATGCAGAACACCCACTGAAGCAGGTGAGGGACCTGGTGATTGCAAGGAACTAGCTGCCATATGAGGAACGCAAAGGGCAATTCTGGGACAGTGCATTTTAGTACTTGTTCAGCAGAGCAACTGCACCTTCTGGAAATATTGTCCATACTTGATCTGAGACACTGGACCAGTTAATATGAGCTTTGAAGCAGGAAAGTGACTAAGCAATAATTTTCTATCAGAGTGAGACTTGTTTGGTAGTTTTCATTTATGGCAACTTTACTTTCATTATAGGTAGGTTGCCTAATGCTTTCATTGCTGGTAGGTTGCCTAATGCTTCCCATTGTAGGCCCATTACTTACAACTTTGCCCAATTCTGCTTAGGCTAAAGTTTTCCATGTTGGGTACCTGATTCATCCACATTGCCCTCCTCCGTGGATATAACATTCTGTAGTGTACATGGTCCTGGTATTAGAACTTTCACTGTATCACTGTAACTTTCTTGCACTTAAATGCATAATACGTTAGTATGATACTTCAGTTCATAGGTGTAACATTCATAAAGTGTTTAGGGCCTCCTGAGATGAAAGTTGTTCTTTAAATTTAAGCTGTGATACAGATTATTTCACCCTTGTTAAAGGTAGGAGAGAGAGCATTATCCATTGATCTAATTAAATCTGCAGGAGGACTAAAACAAATGGAACATAATTACCAGCACTGGACTCAAGCCCAGGCATTGTCAGTACAAAAAATACAGCAGGATCTGCTTCACCATATTTATCCTAACCAAAAGACAGCAGCCCAAAAGGGCCAGTATCCCTGATTTCTTCCTTCCTTTTTAACACAGGAAGGTGCATGGCATCTAACACAAGAACCAAGGCTTGCACATTGACATTCCCTCTTGGGTAGATTCCTGCCCTTGTATTTCTAGTAAAAAAAGTAAAAAATCCTCTAGCAATAGAAAGGGCTTGGCTCTTTGAGGAATCGTAGGCCAAACTCAGGAACTGACCAGCCTAGTGTCCTTTAAAACAGTAGTACTTGACCTTTTTTTAGTCCATGGGCCGGATGGGCAGTGTCCAGTCTGTCCACAGGCTGGATTCAGCCAATGAGCCTGATCCAGCACCCCAAGTGGTCACAGCAGGGCCCCATCCAGCTGTGTGGAGAGAGGGAAGAGGACTAGTCCAGCCCCAACCTGGCCCTGCAGGGGGAAGGGAACATAGCTCAGCCTTAATCCAGCCATGGGGGATGGGGTGTGGCCTGGCCCCAACCTGCTGTGCAGGGCTTGGGGTTTGGCATTGGGGCAGGATGGTCATATTAATTGCCACTGCTCTCCCGCCACCAAATTTCCCAACCCATGGGGAGTCTTGTGGGCTGAATACCATTGCTCTGTGGGCCACATTTCACCTGGAGGCCAGAGGTTAAGCAGCCCTTTTTAAAACATTCCCCCATCTCCATGACCAGAGCTCCCTGTTGTAACTGTTATTAGGGCTTCCTGCCCTGAGATCTTTGACTTACTTCAGGACAGTAATCCTTTCCTAGTGCCCAGGTGATGTATGAAAATAGCAGGAGGAGTAATGCAGGTGATTTATGCATCACAGTAAATTGCTGAACATCCATTTCTTTCACAGCCTTGTTTTGGAAAGAGTCATAGATTTCACCATTGATGCCTGTGAGAGCCCTGGTTTCCAGCTCTGCCTAGCCCCGGATGCATCAAGACAGCTGTTACTTCCCTTGGTATGGAATGCACTGATGCCCTCACTGGTTCCCTGTGGAGTAGTGTCATTCAATTCTGCTCTATTAATTTTGCTGTGCCTATTACTCTAGATGTTTTGGGTAAGACTGCTGATCTTTAGTTGACATCATGGGTTATTTTGATACGTTTTCCCTGGGTTCAACAGAAGGCAAATTCTTGGCACTGAGGTGCAGTTGGCACCTTGTGGTTTAAGGAGCTGTATGATCGCTTTTGGAGATGATAATAGCATTGCTTTTGATGCATAGAAAAATGTAAAGGCCAAGGGCAATGGAATCTTTGGAATCTGTGGCACTATGGTTGAACTACCCATAACACTCAGGCATTAATTCAACAAGGCCTGAAAACAAACTGCTTTGAAGTTGCTCCATGTCTAAGGGCATTGGAGTAGAGTAAAGACAGCATGGCCTTTACAGACTCCCTGTAGCACTGGAACTGCTGATGCGAGATACAGTGCCCTTTGCAATCAGAGCACATCAGCATCCTTGGCTGGGGGACATCAGGGTGAGAGCACATTGATGCAAGCAGTATTAGAACAGTGTGTGCCCAAACAGCTGTGTAATCGTTGCAAGTCGGTGCAAAGCAACCATCACTGGCAAAGACTTTTCCCCTGTCTCAGAATGGGCTTTTGTGCCAACCTTTGCCATGTCACCAGAGCCTGCTAAAAGAAGACATGAGCACTGGCAAAGGCAGACTCCTGCTGGCATCATATCAGTTTTAAGCCGTGTGACTTGCACAGTTGGTCCTGCTGAGTAACTCTAAAATCATACAAAACATAAATCTTTATACATTCTTTATCTTTTTTTCTTCCAAGAAATTGCCTCCACAAGCTCTCTTCCCCCACATTATGAGTATAGTAAGCAACAATACAAGCCTGTACGTGATCTGTGCCTTAAAGAGCATCTTTGAGGGCCATTGAGTTCAAGAGTAAGAATCCAATGAAATGACATCCTGAAAGAAGCTGTATTACAGGGAAGAACATTTTCCCTTCTCTTAACAGTCTAAAATCTGAGGTAAAAAGGAAGCAAAAACTATAGAGGATGCAGAACAACAACTGAAATAAGGGAAAGATGTAGGAGAGACTACTACTGATCTGGAGAATGTGATATGAAGTTCTTATGGAAGAAACAGATTCTAATAGACAACAGTAGTTCTTAAAATGCCAGGTGAGATCAGGATTCCATCATGCTAAGTCTAGCACAGTCTCTGCTCTAAAGAGCTGACAGTCTAATACACATGGCTGTTTTCATCTCCATTTTACAAATGGTAATAGAGAAACTAAGTCACTTGCCTAAGATCATGCAAGAAGCCAGTGTCAGAACCAAAAACTGAATCCAAATCTCCTGAATTCCAAGCAAATGCCTTAAGAGCAAGTTATTTTAAAGAAGGAACTGAAGTGAGAAAGGTGGCTTTCTGGTAAAGTGAGAGGGTATTTCAAACACTAGTAGCAAGCAGCAGAACACCAGAACTAAGAAGCAATGGAAAGGACGTTGGTCTCATCCTGAGGATGGTGCTGAGATTACATAGTATGATCCTGAACATGAAGGACAAGGATATTGAGTTTAGTAAGTCAAAGTGGGACAGAGAGGCAAGAAGGTCAGAGCAAAGGATGAGGAAGACAAGTTAGAGACAGTATTTTGGGAACAGTCCCCAGATTAGTGATTCTCAACCAGGATGTCAGGACACCCTGAGGAATAAGGGCAGGTTCAGGTTCCTACAAGCCTGTCTGGGGCCTGTCTGCCATCACTAGCCATCGCCTCTGCAAGGAGAGGAGCACTGTAATACATTTATTTTTTAAATGGGATGCTGCTCAATTTATAGAAGTTAAGAGTCCAGGAAAGTTGGAGAACCACTGCCCCAGACAGTCATTGAAGAAGAGGTGAGAGGCCAGCAAAAAGAATATGAGAATAATCAAGCCACAGCCTGGGCTAGGTTTCAGTAGAGAAGGCAAACAGCAAGGTGTGGCTTTGGTAATATAAATATAAAAGAGCTGAAATTACAAGATGATGATGGAAGATTAGAAGTAGGGGAAGGAGGTGAAAACACTCAAATTGTTCAATGGGGGACAAAGAGTTATTTCAGTACAAAATCACTACTACAGTAATAGCTCAAGGCAAAACAGGAGTATTTGGTGTCTACCTCAATGTTTAGGAACCCAAATGGTATTTTCAAAAATACCTAGGGTGCCAAACTCCTGTGTAAAACATGTTGAAAATTGCACTGAGCATCTATTCAGATCTTAAGAAACCTAAATACCTAGAAAAAATATGATTCTTAGGGGAAGATCATGGACTACTATCATGTTACCAGCACCACTTCCTGGGAATTCCTCAGAGGTCTCATCCTAATATAACTGCTCACACTGAACCCTGCTCAATTCAGAACTAAAAGACTTCATACTACCCACTGGTGACATCTTTGTGCCAGGAGCCATATGATGTCCTTGTAAGAATGATCCAATTCCAGTCCCAGTCTCCTCATCTTATTCCTACTCAGTTCACATTTAATTGTCTCCATGCTACCAACCAACTCCTTAGTACTCCATATGCAATTAGATTCATTAGCAAAGATGTATTTTCCCACAAACGTACGTTGTTCCCTTTATTTACTTGTGTGGGGGAGCAGTTCCTACAGGAGACAGTATATAAAACTGCGGCAACAAGTTTCACCTTAGCACAAAAGGTTCCTTCTACACAGGCAATATATATTTGACCCTCCAGAGCTCACAATAGAATCAAAACTTTTTTGGCTTTATGATAGAGATATATGGAAGTCCAGATGCTTTATTCTAGTCTTTATATTTATAACTTTGTTCTTTCCTATGGCCTATAAATTTGAGGAAATGTGTGACATAGAAATGTCTCACCCAATAAAAAAGGGCTTCTTTCAAACAGCTGTAGGTAAAGATTCACTGTTGTAAAGGGCACTGTCATTAAGAATGATATTAGTCTCTTAATTCCTGAGGCACCAGCAAAAAGGATGTAAAAATATTACGAAAATTGTGTAATACTCACTGCCTCGTTTACAAATTAGGCAGAAACAATTACAGAAAAGAGCATTAACCTAGGAATATAACTATAAATTGTTATGCAAATCATCATGCCTTAATCAAGAATAAGCAAAATGCAGCACTTTCACATGCTCTTCTATTTTTATATGTAGAATATATGTAGCTTTGTTTACCTTGAAGACAAATCCTTCTGGACAGGTGTGATCATACTTGTAAACCTTGTAGACTACCAGAAATACAACACATGTTAGGAAGGCAAGGGCAAAAAGGACCAGGACTGTTACCTGTAAAAGAAAATAAGTCAACATTTTTGTTAATGATGCACAGACTACTCTTGTTGTTGTTGTTGTAGTGCTTAACCCACCAAAGTGCTTTGCAGTAAAGTAACAGATAAATAACTCATTAACTATGAGAACAGTCATGTTTACCCCATCAAGGATCATGACAGGGGGCATAGCATGCCCATTCTACAAGCACTGCACTCTGAAACAGCGGTTGCATAGCCACCTTAGTGTAATAGGGCTCATTGTCTTGAGTGAGCTTATTGGCACACGCCTTTCACCAGACCAGGGTTACCCCCAACGTAGGCACATTACATCCATTTTGAGAGATAACGTAAAACAGAAGTGCTGTGCTGCTTCACTCTAGTCTGGCACCACCTAGCATCATCCTCTAATGGGGGCAACATGTCCAGAAGTGCACTAGTGTCTCTCCTGCTCCCATTCATTCTGATAGAAGCCAAAGATAGACTGGGTTAGTGTCCAGTACTTATAGGGCTTTTCTAAATGCAACCTGTTCTGTTGCTTTCCTGTTCAGTGTATGCAGGAGGCTACAGGGACACACCATAAATTGGTTTGAGGCAGCAGGACTATCAGGACTTGGATGACACAACATCTCAGTCAAACATGCATCAGACACTAATGACTAAGTGTATGTGCTAGCCCAGACAGGAGTTTGGTTGACAACAAATTATTTGACTCTCCATTCAAATAAGATATTGGTGAGGGTTGTTAGGAAGGCCAAGGCGGAGATAGAGCTCGGATTAGCGTCCAGGATTAAGGATAACAAAAAGTCCTTTTTCAAATATATTGGGAGGATGAAGAAGGCGCCGGGTAATGTGGGGCCCCTGCAGGATATGCGGGGCAATCTGGTGGTTGCGTCAGAGGATAAAGCGGACCTCTTTAACCAATTCTTCACCTCCGTTTTCTTGTGCAGGGACCGGGACTTCCCTGCTGTGATAGAAGCCGGACGCGAGGGGATCGCCTTCAGACCTCAGGTTGGGGAGGACTGGGTTAGAGAGCTTCTGGAGGGGCTGGACGCGTTCAAGTCAGCGGGTCCGGATGCTCTCCACCCCAGGGTGCTGAGGGAGCTGGCTGGGGTTATTGCAGGGCCCCTGGCACGGCTCTACGAGCGATCGTGGTGCTTGGGCCAGGTGCCAGACGATTGGAAGGTAGCTAATGTGGTCCCCATCTTCAAGAAAGGGAAAAGGGAGGACCCGGGCAATTATAGGCCCGTCAGTCTTACCTCAATCCTGGGGAAGCTCTTTGAGAAGATCATCAAGGAGCACATTTGTGATGGGCCGGCATCCGAGATGATGCTCAGGGGCAATCAGCATGGATTTATTAGGGGGAGATCATGTCAGACCAACCTGATTGCCTTTTATGATCAGGTCACAAAGGCCATGGATGCAGGTGTCGCGGTGGATGTAGTCTTTCTGGACTTCAGCAAGGCCTTTGACACCGTCTCTCACCCCATCCTAATTAGTAAACTAGGCGACTGTGGCATAGATGCCTACACGGTCAGATGGATTGCAGATTGGCTGAAGGGTCGCACTCAGAGGGTGGTGGTGGATGGATCATATTCGACTTGGGGGGAGGTGGGTAGTGGAGTCCCCCAGGGCTCGGTCCTGGGGCCTGCGCTGTTCAATTTCTTCATCAGCGATCTTGATGTTGGGGTGGAGAGCAACCTGTTTAAATTCGCTGATGACACCAAAATTTGGGGGGAGGTGAGCACGCTAGCAGGGAGAGAGAGATTGCAGAAGGATCTGGATAGGTTACAGGGGTGGGCAGACAGGAACAGGATGCGTTTCAATACGGACAAGTGCAGGGTGCTGCACTTGGGTAGTAGGAACCAGCAGCACACTTATAAGATGGGGAGCTCCCTACTTGAGAGCACGGAGGCGGAAAGGGATCTTGGTGTCATTATTGACTCCAAGATGAACATGGGCCGACAATGCGAGGTCATGGTTGGCAGGGCTAACCGGACCTTGTCGTGCATCCACAGGTGCATCTCGAGTAGAGCCAGGGAGGTGATCCTCCCCCTCTATGCGACGCTGGTCAGGCCGCAGCTGGAGTATTGTGTCCAGTTCTGTGCGCCCCATTTCAGGAGGGATGTGGACAACATGGAGAGGGTCCAGAGGAGGGCCACCCGCATGATCCGGGGACAACAGGGCAGACCCTACAGTGAGAGACTGCGGGACTTGAACCTATTCAGCCTCCACAAGAGAAGGCTGAGGGGGGACCTGGTGACCGTCTATAAACTCACTAGGGGGAACCAGAAGGGTTTGGGGGAGACGCTGTTTCCCCTAGCCCCTGCTGGCATAACAAGGAGTAATGGGCACAAGTTGATGGAGAGGAGGTACAGATTGGACATCCGAAAAAACTACTTCACAGTTAGGGCGGCTAGGAGCTGGAACCAACTTCCAAGGGAGGTGGTGCTGGCCCCTACCCTGGGGATCTTTAAGAAGAGGCTGGATACTTACCTGGCTGGACTCATTTGAGTCCCGTTTTTGTTTTTAGGGTGAGTGGTTTTGTTTGTGTTTTTGGGTTGTTCTCCCGCCCTGGCGGGGGGGCGGGCTAGAAGATCTATTAGGTCCCTTCCGACCCTGAAACTATGAAACTATGAAACTATGAGGGGGGATGACTTCAGGGGCTATGATGGAGGTGATATGTGATTATGGGATGAGTTGGGGAAAGGAGGGGTGTGGTCAGTGACAACTGCAGGTTGGGAATGCTTCCTGGGATCCTCGGAGCTCTTGAGTTCACAGGGTGTACCAGAAGCCTCTTTGATACAGAGCCCACTGTGGAAGTATGCTGGCACACCAAGGAGTGAACACCGATGTGCTCAACATGAGGCTACCCCTCAAAGCCCTTTGGAAACTCCAAATACAACTTCCCAATTATCTAATAGTGCACATGACAAATCTGTATTTCACAGACTGCAATGGCTACCAGTCTGTTTCCAGATAAAATGCATGATATTTAATCCTGACCAATAAAATATCATATATTTTAGGTTTTTTCTCCCTTAGAGCCTTGTAGCACAGCTCCTGCTGCCCTCCAGCTCCCTGTTATAGCCTGAACTAACGCTCACTTAAGTTGATGGAAAGATACCAATTTACCTGACTGGGTGCTAAAACAAAGCCTTAAATGCTGTTTCCTTAAGCATCCTCCTAAGAGTTGCAGTGTTTTGGCTAACTACCCTAGAACTGAGCTCTCACCTGATGGAGCCTGGACAGCATCTGGGGATGGAGAGGGAACACTGGCTCTGAAGTTAGTGTTCACTTGGCTTTAGAAAACCCAGGATGGTTGCCCTGAAAAGCCTCTGTCTGAGGGAGACTGGTTTGGTCTGAGTGAGGTTACTGTTGCCCAGGAAATTTGTAACCAATCTTCCAGGTGTCTTTTTGTTATAATTAACTGAAATTCTAAAGTGATCTACAGATGATGGGATGCTCTTTAAAGCCCTTTTCTGACAAATTAGAAGGGAAAGCATGTGTTACAGTAAGAGAAACGATAGTAAACAGAGCCAAACAAAATTATGTCACTAAGTAATTAAAACAGAAAGGCAACTGGATTTTAAAAAGAGCCAAGTAAGTCGCTGTACAGATTAACTGGGGAAGGGAATTCCATTGAATTAGGTTCAACTATGCAAACGATGTTTTGAGATTTGGAAGGCAAGAAAGGATTTAGGGATTCTGTATCTACAGTGAGAAGAACCCTAGGACACTGATAAGAGCTAACTGGGGCTGGTAAGACCATACTGCAAGACTTAATCATGGCAGTGGGCTTTTTTGTGACATTTAAGGAACATAGGTTCAAATTCTGGGGACTTCTCTACATTAGGTAAGTTAGCTTAGTTACTGTGGTAAATGATCTATGCCAACTACCTCAGAGTAGACTCAATGGTCAAGCAGTGAGGTATGTGGCAGAAGCCAGTACAGTCTTACAAGAATTTCTGACCACTGTTTAAACAAAGCTTTCTTTAAAATAGCACACAAAAGAGGGACAGGGAGAGGAGATCATAATTGTGGATCAGAATGTATTAGCACAGAGGCTGTTACTATTAGCTTAATATTTACATGGAGGAAAGAATCTAGTTCACAGCAGCATCTTTAACTTGCAAGGGCCTTCATCTGACATTAGTTTTCAAGTATTAGTCTTTCTCCAAGTTTATAATGGGTTTGCTGAGGTTAGCGCTAAAACAGACAGAGATCACTTTGTGTCTCCTTGTATCATCAGAACATATGGCCCCTCTCCCTGTTTCATGGTTTCTTTCCTTCAGAGGTTAAGACCCACCTAGAAGTACCAGGACAAACAACCAACCCTACATAACACTCTAGTCATTCAACTAGTGCTCAACAGCTTGCAGAATCAGGCCCTCGGGGCTGATTTTTAGAAGTGTGGACTACCTGTGTGTCTCACTGACCTCACCGGAAGTAGTGGCTACCTGGTGCTTCTGCAAATCACATCTACAGCGACTTTCTCATTGTCATGCAGTAAACAATGGGAACAGATCTCAGGTCTTTTGATTCTCAGTTCTCAGGTAGTTCTCTCACTTTCATTACGTATTACCTAATCCAGGGATGCTCAACATCGAGCCCACAGGCCAGATCTGGCCCACAGAGCCATGTCATCTGGCCTGCCAGGCTCTCCATGGGTCTGAAAAGTTAGCAGCATAGGACTAACAGCAGTGTTAACTGCTGCTCCCCAGCTGCCGTATTTCCAGAGCTGTGGAGAGCCCAGGGGCCGTGGTGCTGCATGCTAGGTCGGGCACACAGAGCTTGCGTGGTATAGGGCCAGATCCTGGCATGTGGGGAACAGACCAGGACAGCATGAGGTCCGGTCCAGGCTCACCAGGCTTGATCAGGGCAGTGTGGAGCCTGCTCTGGGCACACAGGACTCAACCCCATGTGCTGACCCTGCCACTCCTCCAGCTCACAGGGCTAAAAGGTTGAACACTACTGATCTACTATAATGGTAACAAAATGTGAATTCTCATTTAACTC